ATCAAAAAGTGGGCTAAGAGCATGAATAGATAATTCTCAAAAGAAGATATGCAAATGGTCAACAAACATATAAAAATTCTCAACATTACTAATGATCAGGGAAATGCAAATCAAAATCACAATGCAATACCACCTTACTCCCACAAGAATGACCATAATCAAAAAAATAAAAAAAAAATAGATGTTGGCATGGGTAGAGTGAAAAGGGAAAATATACTTCTACACTGCTGGTGGGAATGTAAACTAAAAGAATCACTATGGAAAACAGTGTGGAGATTCCTTAAAGAACTAAAAGTAGAGCTACCATTTCATTCAGCTATTCCACTATTGGGTATATATGCAGAGGAAAAGAAGTCACTATATGAAAAAGACACTTGCACATGCATGTTTATAGCAGCACAATTTGCAATTGCAAAAATGTGTAACCAGCCCAAATGCCCATCAGTCAACAAGTGGATAAAGAAACTGTGACATACATATATATATATATGTTGGAATACTACTCAGCCATAAAAAGGAATGAATTAATGGCATTTGCAGCAACATTGATGGGATTGGAGACTATCGTTCTAAGTGAAGCAACTCAGAAATGGAAAACCAAACATCGTATGTTCTCACTCATAAGTGGGAGCTAAGCTATGAGGATGCAAAAGCATAAGAATGATACAGTGGACTTTGGGGACTCTGGGGGAAAGAGTGGAAAGGAGGTGAGGGATAAAAGACTACACATTAGGTTCAGTGTATACGGCTCGGGTGATGGATACACCAAAATCTCACAAATCACCACTAAAACCATTACACATGTAACAAATACCACCTGTTCCCCAAAAACCCATGGAAATAAAAAAATGAAAAAAAAAAAAACAAAAAAACCACAACTGAATGCTCCTCCACCAAAAATAGAATAAAATAAAATTTAAAATATGGAACCATGCTAAAACAAACAAACAAAAAGGATATCCAGGTCCTAATCCCTGGAACCTGTGAATGTTACTTTGTGGCAAAAGGGACTTAACAAATGTGAGTGATAATTTTCTAATGGAGAGACTACACTGGATTATTTAGGTAGACATTAATGTCATCACAAATGTTCTTATAAGAGGGAAGTGGAGGCCAGGTACAGTGGCTCACGCCCATAATCCCAGCACTTTGGGAAGCCAAGGAGGGAGGATCAGTTGCCAGCCTGAGCAACAAAGCAAGACCCTGTCTCTATAAAAAAGAAAAAAAAATTTAATTAGCCAGGTGTGGTGGTGCATGGCTGTAGTCCCAGCTACTTGGGAGGCTGAGGTAGAAGGATGTCTTGAGCCCAGGATTTCAAGGCTGCAGTGCTCAATGATTGAGCCACTGCACTCCAGCCCAGGCAAAAGAACAAGATCTGTCTCTAAAATTTAAAAAATAATAATAATTTAAAAAGAAAGAAGCAGAAGATTTTATACCCCCAAAATCAGGATGTCATGATGAAAGCAAGAGATTGCAGTGATGTGGCCATGAACAAAGGAAAATTTACAACCTCTAGAAGTTGGAAGAGACAAGGAACAGGTTCTCCCCTGGGACTTCCAGAATGGCAAGAACTAGCCTTTCTGACGCATTGATTTTAGCCCAGCGAAACTGATTTTGTGCTTCTGACCTCCAGAACTACGAGAGAATAAATATGTGAGAGGTTTTTGTTTTTGTGTTTGTTTGTTTTTGAGACAAGGTCTCACTCTGTTGCCCAGGCTGGAGTACAGTGGCTTAGTCATGGCTCACTGCAGCTTCAGCCTCCTGGACCCAAGCAGTCTTTCCACCTCAGCTTTCTGAGAAGCTGGGACCAGAGGCAAGTGCCACTACACCTGGCTATTTAAAAAAAAAAAAACAACCCATAGAGATAGGGTCACCCTATGTTGCCCAGGCTGGTTTCAAACTCCTGACCATAAGCGATTTCCTCACCCTGGCCTCGCCTCCCAAAGTGCTGTGTTACAGGTGTGAGCCACCATACCCAGCCAATGTGTCATTTTAAGCCACCGAGTTTGTGGTAATTTGGTTTAGCAGATGTATAAAACTAATATAGATATCCACAAGAAACTCACTTCAAATGTAACAATATAAGCAAGTTGAAAATAAAAGGATCAAAAATATGTATCATGCAAACATTAATTAAAAGAAAACAGGAGGGCTATATTAATATCTAATAAAGTAGACTTCAGAAGTAAAGAAAATTACAGGAACAGAGAGAGATGTTACATAATGTTAAAAGGGTAAACTAACCAAGAACACATATCAACCCTAAATGTGTATGCACCAAAAAACAGCCATAAAATATGTAAGGCAAAAATTGATAGAACTGAAAGGAGAAAAAGACAAATTTGCAGTAATAATTGGAGACTTGAACACCCATCTATCAACAATTGATAGAGCAACTAGAAAGAAAATTAGCAAGAATATAGAACTCAACAGTAGCAACAACAAGATCTAACCAACATTTATAGAACACTCCACCTAAAAGCAGAATACATATGCTTTTCAAGTGCCTATGAAACATGTATTAGCATAGACCATATCTTGGTCCATTAAAAGAAAATAAAAGATAATTGAAATCTTATAGAGTGAGCTCTCCAAAGTCTTTAGAAGTTCTCTGAGACAGATAACAAGAAAATCTCTACACACTTAGAAATTTCTAATTAGTCCATGGGTCAAAGAGAAAGTTTCAGAAATATTAGAAACGGAAAAGCATGAAAGTGAATGAAAATAAAGATACAACATATCAAAATTTACAGGACACAGCTAAAAGCAGTCTTGAAAGGGAAATTTGTAGCACTGAAGGCATACATTAGAAAAGAAGAAAAATCTCAAATCAATAACCTAAACTCCCACTTTGACTTAGTCCATTTTGTGCTGCTATATAATAGAATACCTGAGACTGGGTTATTTACAATGAACAGAAATTTATTGGCTCATGGTTCTGGAAGCTGTGAAGTCCAAGATTGAGGGGCCAGCATGGGTGAGGGCATTCTTGCTGTGTCATCTCATGGTGGAAGGGCAAAGAGAGAGCAAGAGTGGGCTGAACTCATCCTTTTATAAGGAACCCATTCCCGAGATAAGAGCATGAATGGTCACAAGGGCAGTGAGCTTGACCCAAACACTTCCCATTAGGCCCTACCTTTTAATACGGCTACACTGGGAATTAAGTTTTCAATACATGAACTTTGTGGGACACGTTCAAACCATAGCACACCTCAAGAAGGTGGAAAGAGAAAAAAATCCCAAAGCAAATACAAAGAAAGAAATAATCAAGAGCAGAAATCAATGTAACTGAAAAAAGGAAAACAACACAGAAAATACAATATTTCTTCCTTTCCAATCTATATGCTCTTATTTCCTTTTCTTGTCATTTTGCACTGGCTAGATCATTCAGCACTGTGTCAAGTAAGTGTGGTGAGAGTGGATATCCTCGCCTGGATCTTGATCTTACAGGAAAACATTCAGTGTTTCACCATTAAGTATATGTTAGCTGGAGGTTTTTGGTGGATATTCTTTTTTTAATTCTAGTACCCTTGCCTTTACATAAATTTTATAATAATATTTTCTACATTAACGAAAGCTCTTGTTGGGATTTTAATGGAAATTATATTAAACCTGGTATATCAATTTGGGCATTTTATAGTTTTTAGCATACATTTCCTGGTACAAGTTTTGTCAGATTTATACTTAATAATTTTTTTATTTGAGTAGTTATAAATGGTATTATATTTCTAATTTTGATGTTCACATGTCCATTGCTAATATATATAAATCTAATCAATTTTAATGTTTATGTTGTATTCTATGACCTTCCTGGACTTCCTTATTAATTCTAGAAGTTCTAGGCATTATTTACCCAATTTCAAGACTTGTTTTGTAAATAGCTGCAGTAATAAAGACTGTGGTATCAGACAAAAACATAGATCACTAAAACAGAATAGAGAACCCAAAAATTGACTACACAAATATACTCAAGTGATTTGGAAAAGATGCAAAATCACTTCAATGGAGGAAAGATAGCATTTTCAACAAATGGTGCTAAACAATTGCACATCCACAGGTTAAAAAAAAAAAAAAACCTCAAGGAATCTTAAGTAAGCCTCATACTTTACACAAAACTTAACTTAAAATGGATCATGGACTTAAATGTAAAATGTTAGACTATAAAGCTGTTAGAAAAAAAATAGAAGAAAATCTTTGGGATGTAAGGATAGGCAAAGGGTTCTTAAACTTAGCACCAAAAGCGCAATCCATAAAATGAAAAGTTGCTAAATTTGACTTCATTAAAATTAAAAACATTTGTCTTTGAAAAATCATTTTAAGAGAAAGAAAAGACATGCTACAGACTGACAGAATGTTTGCAAACCACATATTTGACAAAAGATTTATATCTAGAATATACAGACAACTCTCAAAACTGAACAGTCAGAAAACAAACAATCCAAGTAGAAAATGGACAAAAAACACAAAGAGACGTTTCACCCAACAGGATATACAGCTGACAAATAAGCACATTAAAAGATGTTCAACATCAGTAGCCATTGAGGATGTGCAAATTAAAACCACAATAGGATAGCACTGCACACCTATAAGAATGGCTAAAATAAAAAATACTGGCAAAGAATCAGAGAAACTTGATCACTCATACACTCTGGTAAGCAAGGTAGCAGGGTAGCAATTTCATTTTTCTTTCTTTCTTTCTTTCTTTTTTTGTGTGAGACAGTATCTCACTCTGTCATCCAGGGTGAAGGCAATCATAGCTCACTGGAGCCTTGAACTCCCAGGCTCAAGAGATCTTCTCCCCTTCATCTCCTGAGTAGCTGGGACTACAAGCACCTCCACCACATCCAGCTTAGTTTGTGTGTGTGTGTGTGTGTGTGTGTGTGTGTGTGTGTGTGTGTGTGTGGAGATGAGGTCTCACTGTGTTGCCCTAATTTTCTTTTTGTTTTTGTAGAAACAGGGTCTTTCTATGTTGCCTAGCTTCGTCTCGAACTCCTGGACTCAAGTGATCCTCTTGCCTCAGACTCAGGAGTTACTGGGATTGCAGGTGTGAGCTACCACACTGGGCTGACAGTTCCTTCTAAAGCAAAACATGCACCGACCATACAATTCATTAGCTGCACACCTGAGAATTTATTCCAGAGAAATGAAGAATTATGTTCACACTAAAACTTGTACTTGAACATTTATAGAAGCTTTATTTACACAGTAGCAACAAATAATACTGGGAATAAACAGATGTCCTTCAACAGGTTAAATATGGCACCTCAGTGATTAAACTGTGGTACATCCATATCATGAAATACTACTCAGCAATAAAAAGGAATGAATTGTTGATATATACAACACTTATCTGTAATCTTCAGGGAATTATGCTGAGTGGAAAAAGTCTATTTCAATATATAACATTTATATATCATTGGTGAAATGAAAAAAATATAGAAATGGAGAACAACTTAGTGATTGCCCAGAGTTAAGGAGTGGGTGTGGGTGGGAGGGAAGTGGCTGTGAACATAAAAAGGCAATATGAGTGGTGCTGGACATGTTCCGATATTGATCTATGTAAGTATATCCTGGTTGTGATACTATACTATTGTTTTACAAGAGGCTACTCTTGGGTGAAACTAGGTAAAAGACACATAGGATCTCCATGTATTATTTCTTGCAGTGCATGTTAATCTCTGAGCATAAAAAAGAAAGTCACTGATGAATACACGCCTTATGATTCCATTCATTAAAAATGCAAAATGGATAAAACTAAATCATATCTTTCTTGTTTAGGGATTCATACCTCTAGGAGTGGTGTTAGAAATACTTTCAACTAGTTTGAAAGATTTGTCATCCAACATCCCCTAACAGCAATTAGGTTTACTTCTCTTTGAGGAGGGAATAATATAGGAGTTATTAAGAAATTATTTTAGGCAGACAGATAGTAAGGGTAAAGGTTCTCAGTGGAAGTTATCCCGTTACAAGAAACAACCCCCTCACCCCCAACCATCTATTTTCTAACAGAAAAGGTGGCTTGAAGGGCCCGGCAGGCAAGCTTTGATATGCAAATGTTGGCCATTAGAAACTGGGTTCACTCTGTCTGGTGATTCCTACCATCTTCTCCTTGTCGCCACTTGTGCCAAGTGTGATGGCCACCTCCAGATGTGTTCAGAACATCATGGCGACTCGCATTTGCATATTAAAGGGCTAAGGTGGGAAGGCCAGGGTTTTCATGGGCTATGTGAATGGCACACCTGGTCAAACCAATCCCCTGGTCCCTATGCAAACCAGACACTGCCTCCTCCAGCCTCCCTAGATAATGGACTGCCTTTCTGCTGCACACAGGGTTTCTCTTTGTTCCAAGTCCTACTCCCTTGTCTTTGTATGGGGGAGATGCTTTCTTCTTTCTTCCTTCTTTCTTGCCTATTAAACTTTTTGCTCCTTAAAACCAAAAAAATAAAAAAATAAAAAACTTTTTGACTAGTTCAGCATCAACCAGTCAGAGTGGACACCCAGCCAATCGGAACAAATGCCAGCTATCAACAACAGGAATCACTGTACTGTACCTGACTTAGTGCAAAGGGGCCTGGGAAATGGAGTTGCTGGCTGAGCAATTGTTGTGCAGTGATGACTCACGCCATGGTACCAGATGCACCCATCCTGGTAGACAGCTAGCTGGCCCTGCCTCAAATCACATAAGGTACCACCAGCTTCCATCTCAGGTGTCTGCTTTCAACCCCTGCATGTCCCCTCCACCACACCCTATCATCCAGACCAGCTAGTCCACCCAAACCATTTCAATGGCAGCAAATGACACACTTCCAGTGTGGTCAAGGAGGGGAAGGTGAGGGAAACTCTCGTCTACAATGGATTCTCAAGTCAGCACACCCACCCCAGCCTTCCCGCTCTTTGCTATTAGACAAATGATGAAACTAAGAGAGGAAAAAGGCCCTCCTTGGGATTACCCAGCAAGTCAGGAGCAGTACAGGACTCTGGCTGCCTGCACAAGGCTAGCAGCAGTGGGACATGTCTGCCCACCTTTCATGGAAGCAGCCCAGGGAATTAGTCCCGATGCCAACGCCTGGCTCTGGAGTTCCTTTTCTTGGATCTAGGCCCTTTCAAAAGGAGCATTTCAAATAGGAGCCATCAACACTTACAGAGGGTGGGTCTTAATCCATAGAGGATCATTAGCTTCACCCAAGTGATGGGCCATCCATCAGCACCTCCCCTTCTTCCACCAATTATGTATCTGCTAATTATCCGGGATTAAGAATTGACACAGAGCGACATGGTCATTAACCACGTATTTGCACGGCTTATTCATGTTAGTGGGGCTGCTCCATCTCACTGAGTCTAATTGGACATGCCCACAATGCTGCACAACACATTTACATCAAGCTGGTTGTCAACAGCCAATGAAGGACTACAGGATGTGTTTGGTTCCAAAGGGACTTGGATCTCGGCAGAAGCTTGTTTGCAGGCACACTGGGTGTCTTGGCTTTCTGGCACTGTGAACTACAGCTTAACTTAGAGCATACATTCAATCATTTCTCAAACATTTGTTAGCTCAAGTGCTTTACCAAGCACAGCACTGGCCCCAGGAGGGTCTACAAAGATGAACCAGGCACCATTTCTGCCATCTTGAGGAGGTTTACCTTCTGCTCTCCATGATGTGACTGTCTAGCAGGTCACCTCCTTCCCACCTGGGGCATGTGTGCCATCTACCAGCCCTCTCCACATTCTCTGTGCAGGTCTCACTGCTCTTCCTTCAGCCTGGAATTCTTCTGTCCATCTGGCTCTGTCTGCAGACGCCACCTCCTCTGTGAGGCCTCTCCTGATTTCTGAGACCACACAAATCTTTCCTGGGCTGCATTTTCATGTCATGCTGCCTTCAGTCAAGGGAACGCATGCAAGCAGAGAGAGCTCAGAGGTGTGTGAGAGAGAAAAGCAGCATGTGTGGTCTCAGAAATCAGAAGAGGCCTCACAGAGGAGGTGGTGTCTTCAGACAGAGCCAGGTGGACAGAGGGATTCAGGCTGAAGGAGTAGCACAGAGATCAGCAAGGAGAATGGTCTAGTGCATGGCACACATCGTACTGGTGGGAAGGGTGTGGCCTGGCAGACAGGGTCACATCATGGAGATCTATGAGTGTTCTGTTAGGGTCTGGAAATTTCTCCTCTGGGTGTGAGGAACCATGGAAGAGATTTTGTTTTTTCAGTGTGTATGCATAGGTGGATGTGTTTTACTAAAGTTTTTATTGAAATGTGACATATGTATAGAAAAGTACAAAATTTTTCACAAACTGAACCACATCTATGTAACAGCACTCAGATTAAAACAACAACAACAAATTATTACTAAAACTCCAGAGATCCACTCTGGCCCTCTTTCAGGAACTACTTACATACAAGAAAAATAACCATCCTAACATCATAAACCAGTTTTTGCAATTTTCTTGTGTGTGGTTTTTTTCACTCCACATATGTTTGCAAGATTCCCCCATGTTGTTAGACATACATGCAGTTTGTTGTTGCTCATTGCTGGTTAACATCCCATTGTATGGATGCAGTGCAATTGTTGATGAGCTTTGTGCAGTTTCCAGTTTGGGGATGTAAACCTTCCTGTAAATGCCTTTATGTGCTCCTCTGTGGGTAAATCTGCTGTGTACATACCTAGGAGTGGAATTGCTGGGTCATGGGCTATGCATATATCTACTTGAGTAGATACTACTAGTTTCCCAAAGTTGTTCTACCCATATACACACCCACCAGGAATGCACAAGAGTTCTCATTGCTCTATATTCTTGTCAACACTTGGTATTGTCAGTCTTTTTGTGTTTTATGCTTGTTTTTCTTGAGGGGAATGACCACCTGGGGGAGGTGAAGTCCCACTTGGGTCGAAGTATACTCACTCTGGCAGTAATGAAATCAGTGGTAATACAGCTAGAATGAAAAAGGCCAATAAAAAGAGACACCATAGAAGTGGAATATACAGGACTTGCACACAAGGTAGAAGCAAGCTTAAGAGGGAGATGGAGGAAGGTTTCTGTATGAGGTGGCTGGGGGGATGAGGGACGTCAGATTTGAAGCCAGGAGAAAACATCCCAATTTAAGATACATCATGTTTGAAATGTAGGACAATGAGATGAAGATGTCCAATAAACTGTTAGCTATATGAGTCTGTTGCTCAGGGATGAGGTCAAGGCTGTAGATAGAGTTAGGAGTTATCACAGAGATGGGAGTTGAGGCTGGGGTGTGGCTGAGATTTCTCAGGGGGTTGTGTGGAATGAAAGAGAGAAGGGCTGAAGACCAGACACCCAGCTTAGGGGATGAGCGGAGGAAGAACAAGAGACAACATCGCTTCCCTCTGAAATGCTGGCAGGGACAGTGAAGCATGAGTCAGGCCCTACTAGCCCCAGCAGCAGCCTCAACAGCCTGGGTCCATCTCACCAGCCATGCAGTTTTCTCCTGAATGAACTTGCATCACTAACCTCAGAAGCTGTGTTGCGAAATCCGCATCAGATTGCGTACCTCTGGTGGCGTCCTAGGGACAATGGGCACTAAAGACTGATAGCATCCTGGGGTTGGAGTCCTCCTCTCCACCTCCACAACATCCCTGCCAATCAGTTATCCAGCACCACAAGCAGGGAACTCATAACTTCCCACGGCATCCCATTTCCTTGTTGAGCAAGTGAGGATCTAAGAAAACCTTTTCTTGCAAATGCAATCTCACGATACTGAAAGTCAAAGGAAAAGATAACGCTATAACTTAATGGTAATGATCCAGGACAGAGTGAAATGCAAGGACTCTGCATCCTGGAAAATCCATTTCTATTAACATACCCATTAGCATTTTCTTGTTGGGGTTAGGGTCATGGCGTCTGACTCCCCACAGGAAGCTGCAGTGATTTCATTACCATTTACACACTGGTTGGGAATGTGCTCATCCGCTGCAGGCATTCCTCTGGCTTCATCAAGCAGTGAGTACAAGGGCCCTGGAATCTAGCCAGTCTCTCAGGACTGAAGCAGTGCATGCTACAGCACAATCTACCAGGCTGGACACGTGGGAAGAATGAGCAGCTGTTAGATGAGAGCGAGCCCACTGCAAGGAAAGAGGGCAGAATGCCATTCTGTTCACCATTTTTTCGTGTGTCTTTAGCAGCATGTGGTCTTGTGTGGGTCTCTGGAGAAGAAGAAAGAAGATGGAGCTAAGAAATGGTTGTCACCCAGCTGGGCACCGTGGCTCACACCTGTAATCCCAGCACTTTGGGAGGCCGAGGCAGGCGGATCACAAAGTCAGAAGTTCGAGACCAGCCTGGCTAGCATAGTGAACCCTCATCTCTACTTAAAAATACAAAAATTAGCCGGGCGTGGTGGTGGGCACCTATAGTCCCAGCTACTGAGGAGGCTGAAGCAGGAGAATCACTTGAACCAGGAAGGCGAAGGTTGCACTCCAGCCTGGGCAACAGAGCAGCACTCCATCTCAAAAAAAAAAAAAAAAAGAAAGAAAGAAAGAAAGAAAAGAAAAGAAAAAATGAAAGGGTTCCCACCCTTGGGGAGACTGGCAGCAGAGGCAGAGACAGGCATGCAAAAGGAAGATGTAGCTGATTTTTTTTTTTTTTTTTTTTAGACAGAGTCTTGCCTTCTCGCCCAGGTTGGAATGCAATGGCACTATCTCAGCTCACTGCAACCTCTGCCTCCCAGGTTCAAGCGATTCTTCTGCCTCAGCCTCCTGAGTAGCTGGGATTACAGGTGCATGCCACCATTCCCTGCTAATTTTTGTATTTTTTAGTAGAGACGGGGTTTCACCATGTTGGCCAGGCTGGTCTTGAACTCCTGACCTCAGGTGATCCACCCGCCTCGGCCTCCCAAAGTGCTGGGATTACAGGCGTGAGCCACTGCGCCCGGCCCTTTTGCTTTATTTTTATAAATTAACTTGGCAGTGTTTTTTTTTTTACAAGGTAATATTTATAAAGTGTTTTTATAATAAAATAGTATTGGCCAGGCACAGTGGCTCACGCCTGTAATCCCAGCTCTTTGGGAGGCCATGGCAGGTGGATCACCCAGGAGTTCGAGACCAGCCTGGCCAACATGGTGAAACCCTGTCTCTACTAAAAATACAAAAATTAGCCGGGCATGGTGGTGCATGCCTGTAATTCCAGCTACTTGGTAGGCTGAGGCACGAGAATCGCTTGAACCCAGGGGGTAGAGGTTGCAGTGAGTCAAGATTGCACCACTGTACTCCAGCCTGGGTGACAAAGTAAGACCCTGTCTCAAGAAAAACAAAGAAACAAAGAGATAAAAATAAAATAGTATTAAAAAGATTTTTTTTAACAAAAACCAGTGGTCTCTTGGCCTAGCCTGTTCTACCTCCAAGTCCTATTCTCAGGAGGTAGCAACTTCCAACTCTTTAAGCTTGCTCTTATGTTGGTTACCTGCATATTTCTAAGTCATAAGCTATGTCAGAGACTAACAGCTCTCCACAATCCATGTTCTCTTTTTCCTGGGTGTACAGCTAGATCTCATTCTTCAGCTCCTGCTCCTGTCTCCTCTTACCCCTTCCAGGTCCCCAGCCCTGAAGTCAGAGGCAACTGGACTCTAGCCAATGAAATGTGAGCAGAAGTGCTACTGCCACTTCTAAGCCTGGTCCCTAAAACCACCATGTACTCCCATGATCTTTCTTTTTCTTCTTCTTCTTGTTTTAGTTTTTCATTTTTTTTTTAATTTTTTTATTTTTTGATGGAGTCTTACTCTGTTGCTCAGGCTGGAGTGCAGTGGCACAATCTCAGTTCACTGCAACCTCCATCTCACAGGTTCAAGCAATTCTCCTGCCTCAGCCTCCCTAGTAGCTGGGAGTACAGGCAAACGCCACCACGCCCGGCTAATTTTTTGTATTTTAGTAGAGACGGGGTTTCACCGTGTTATCCAGGCTGGTCTTGAGCTCCTGAGCTCCACCATGCCCAGACTATGATCTTTCTTCTTATGGCTGCTTGGAATGGAGACGATGTCCTGGCAGGCTCTGGAAGCCACATACTAAAGATGAAAGAACATTCATTAGGCTGCGTACAGTGGCTCATGTCTGTAATCCCAGCACTTTGGGAGGCCAAGGTGGGCAGATTGCTAGAGCTCAGGAGTTCGAGACCAGTCTGGGGAATGTGGTGAAGCCCCATCTCTACTAAAAATACAAAAATTAGCCACGCGTGGTGGCACATGCCTATAATCCCAACTACTTGGGAGGCTGAGGCACAAGATCATGCCACTGCACTCCAGCCTGGGCAACAGAGTGAGACTCCATCTCAAAAAAAAAAAAGCATTCATCAGCCAGTGTCTGAATGAGGGAAAGAAGGAAGTCTGACCCGCCAGTCTGCTTCTACCCGCCCAGTACCACTATGAAAAAAGAATTCTATTATGTTTGAGTCGGTATGCCTTTTGGTATCTATTTGTTATAGCAATTAGATTACCCTATTACATATCCATATATTGATTATCAAGTAGAAAATGCACTAGTAACAGAAACCTGAAGATAGAGTGTTATTTTCTCTGACATCAAAAGTAGTTCAGAGTTAATATTGCAGTCTATGATGCCAAAAGGACCTGGCTCCTTACAGCTTTCCCTTTTATAGCTGTGATCTTCAGGGTGTGACCCTATACCTCTGTCTTAGTCTTTCAATAGAGTTGCCAGAGCTCCAGCCATGTCTGCAACTCGGGCAGGAAGCAGTAGAGGGATGAAAAGGCACAAAAGAAAAGTGCTAGTTGAGTCAACCACCACAGAGAAAGAAAGATTTATTAGGGACTTAGGGGGAGGGTGAAATAAGAAGTGACTGCTAATGGGTACACAGGATTTCCTCAAGGAATGATGAAAATGTTCTGGAACTAGATAGTGGTGATGATTGTAGAACTCTGAAACTATCCTTAAAAACACCTAATTGTACACTTTAGGCCAGGCACAGTGGCTCACACCTATAATCTCTGCGCTTTGGGAGGCCTAGGTGGGAGGATCGCTTGAGGCCAAGAGTTCAAGACTAGCCTGGACAACATAGTGAGATCCTGTCTCTACAACAAGTTTTAAACATTAGTCAGTGTGGTGGTACACACCTGCAGTCCCAGCTACTTGGGAAGCTTAGGTGGTAGGATTGCTTGAGCCCAGGATTTCGAGGCTGCAGTAAGCTATGATTGCACTACTGCACCCCAGCTTGGGGAACAGAGTGAGACCTCATTTCTCAAAAAAATAATTAAGTCATCAAAGTGTACTAAAATGGTGAATTTTATGGTATGTGAATTATGTCTCTCTCTCTTTTTTTTTTTTTTTTTTTTTTGAGACAGAGTCTCGCTTTGTCAGCCAGGCTGGAGTGCAGTGGCAAGATCTCAGCTCACTGAAACCTCTGCCTCCTGGGCTCAAGCAATTCTCCTGCCTCAGCCTCCCAAGTAGCTGGGATTACAGGCGTGTACCACCACGCCCAGCTAATTTTTATATTTTCAGTAGAGACGGGGTTTCGCCATGTCACCATATCATTGTCTTTCACCTCCATATTTTGTCCCACTGGAAGGTTTTCAGGGACAATAACACACGTGGAGCTGTCCTCTCCTATGATAACAATGCCTTCTTCTAGAATGCCTCCTGAAGGACCTGAGGCTATTTTACTTCTTTTTACGTAAGTAGAAAGAGTATGCTCTAAAATAATGATTAAAAGTATAGTATAATAAATACATAAATCAGTAACATAGTTGTTTGTTGTTGTTGTTATTTTTTTAATTGAAACAGAGTCTGGCTCTGTTGCCCAGGCTGGAGTGCAGTGGTGGGATCTCAGGTCACTGCAACCTCCACCTCCCAGGCTCAAGTCATCTGGCCACCTCAGCCTCCCGAGTACCTGGGACTACAGGCACACATCACCATGACTGGCTAATTTTTGTATTTCTTATAGAGATCAGTTTTCACTCTGTTGCCCAGGCTGGTTTCGAACTCAAGCCATCCCCTGTCTCAACCTTTTGAAGTGCTGGGATTATAGACATGAGCCATTGCACCCAGCCCATAGTCATTTATTATCAAGCATTATGTACCGTACATCGTGTATATGCTATACTTTTATAAGACTGGCAGCACAGTGGGTTTGTTTATACCAGCATCACCCCAAACACGTGAGTAATACAGGCTGGCTGGGGACGATGCGTACTGGTACATTCGGGGCATCAGAAGATAGAACAGTTGTGACCCCACATCCTTTAGGTAAAGACACTTCCCCTAATACATTGTGCTCTGATGATACAACAGCTGGATCTTGCTAGGCGATAGGAATTTTTCAGCTCCATTATAATCTCACAGGACCACCATCACATATTGCAACCCATTATTGACCTAAACATCCTTAGGCTATGACTGTACTCGGGTTAAAGATGGTAATTACTGTAATTGGTTGACTATTCTAAGGATAATAATTATAGATAAATACAAACATGTATGCAATACAATGGATATGATTAATGTTTATTTTTAAAAGTTGTTTCAGTTTAGTCAGCTAGTAAATATACATATATCTTGTTTTATTTAATATACTGATACTTTGTGATTCAAAGCGATAGACATAAGCTTTAGATTTAGTAGTCATTTGTATTTTTATATAACAGCATATATCTAGATTCACATGTATAAAAGGATATCAGTAAATCATTTATTATACATCATTATGTAATGCTTATGTAAAATTACTCAAATATTTTATGCCCACATTAGTAAAGTTTCTTTTTTTGTCACCAAAATATATACTTTTTTAACTCCTGGTGCTTTCTAACATACTTAGTTAAGTTCCTAATAATCATTGCTCCTAGGCCAGGCACAGTGGCTCAGCACATGGGTGGGGAGGATTGCTTGAGCCCAGAAGTTCAAGACCAGCTGGGCAACATAAGGAGCTCTTGTCTCTACCAAAAAAAAAAACAAACAAACAAAAATTAGCCAGGCATGGTGGTGCACGCCTGCAGTCCCAGCTACTCAGGAGGCTGAGGTGGGAGAACCACTTGAGCCCAGGAGGCGGAGGTTGCAGTGAGCTGAGATTGTGTGGCTACACTCCAGCCTCTGTGACAGAGCTAGACCCTGTCAAAAAAAAAAAAAAAAAAAAAATTGTTCCTTATTGCCATGTGTTACAATGTCACCTGCCTTGTCTTTAGATACTTATGATTTATACAGGCAAA